TTAGAAACTTACTAGTTCCCCCATGAGAGACCTTATTTTGTAATGTCCTCATCTCAACATATAAGTTTCTATACGGCCTTTTGTTTTACACTTAACAAATATTTATTGGCGATGTGCTATATACCAGCCACAATTCTAAATGCTGGGGGTATGATAGGCTCAGAAGAAATATCTCACCTTTTCTCTAGGGATGATCTCCACCTTGGCTCCTTCTCCTTCCCAATTGCTGAAGCGTCATGCTCCCAATCTTTTTGTCTCCCTCTTCTAGCACCTGGAACATCCTCCCTCTTCCCTGACTCCTTCGCCATTGCCTTGAAGTGGCATGGCTTTGTTAAGAACTTCGGTTTGACCCTTCTAATGGATTTCATTTAAGTGATATTTCACGCCTTTTTATTTCCAAACCTCTTCCAAGATGTGGTCTCTCGTCTCCATTCCCTCATATTGCAATTCTCCTCAACGCACTGGAAGCTTATTTCTCCCCTCACCACTATTACAACCACGCATTTGCCAGTCTCCAGCGAACTCTTTGATGCATCCAAAGCGGGTCTCTCAGCCCTCATTTTTCTTGTTCTCTTTTCAGCACGTGACACTGCTAACCCCTCCGTCTGTCTCTTTGTCTTTAGTTTGTATTTCCGCTGATTTCAGGAAAACCCGTGGAATAATGTAATCACTGTTATGTATCCAGGCTCCCTATCCCCGTTCCATCTAATCTTACAATGGTAAAGTTCAGATTGCATTTAAAGGAGTACCATATATACTCAAGTATAAGCCGACCCGAGTATCCACCGAGGCACCTAATTTTACCACAGAGCTGCATAAATATGTGCTAAAAAACTCGGCTTATACGTGAGTATATATGGTAATTACTACCACTACTTTTGTACTGGTTGGTCATCGGTGAGCACCCCTCTTCAATCTCAGTCCTCATCCTCCCTTATGTTAGGTGATGACCATGCCCTTACATGTTTTCTGTACCACGACTGCAGAGCCATGTTGCCATAAGCAACAGATAAGATTTGCCAACTATGTCAATCATTGGTTCTCAATCTTCCTAATGCCGTGACCCTTTAATACAGTTCCTCATGTGGTGGTGATTCCCAACCATAAAATTATTTTCATAACTGTAATTTTGATACTGTGATGAATTGGGCGAGCCTTATGAAAGGGTTGTTTGACCCCCAAAGGGGTCACGACCCACAGGTTGAGAACTGCTGACGTAAGTGGTCTATGAGTACTGTACATGTTTGGTAATGTGCTCTTTATATTCAGCATTATGTTTGTTGAGACTGAACCACACTGACACATGTAGTGCTACTTTCATTTCCAAATAGTAATCAACTTCATGAATACCATAATTGATTGATTGTTCCATTCATTTGCCGATGGACTTTTCCCTTTTTTTTTTCTTTTTCTTTTTTGAGATTGCATGTCTTTTGGTGCACAAAGGCTAGAGTTTTCCTGGGAGCCTTGTTGGTGCAGTGGTTAGGAGGTGGGCTGCGAACCAAATGGTTGGAAGTTCCAAACCAGCAGCAGCTCTGAGAGAGAAAGAGTGGGCTTTCTATTTCCGAAAATAGTTACAATCTCAGAAACCCACAGTGGGTCGCAATGGGTGCACAATGTTGTACAAAGCAAAGATATCATTGTGGTGACTAAGATGTGCCTAAGCCGTCATGGCTTTGTCTTGACCAGATATGCATTCAAAAGGTGTACGATGAAAAAGGAAAGTGGAAGAAGAGCTGATGTGTAGGAACTGTGGTGTCTGCGAAGACTATTGTGTACAAAGTGAACTAGCAGCAGAATGAGCAGATTGGCCTGAGAAGCAATATTAGCAGAGTGCTCTTTGGACCTGTAAGTCTAATTGATAAAAAAGGACACCATGGCTAAAAAAGTAGAGGGTCAACAAAAATGAGGGACATTCTCAAGGAGCTGGATTGACAGAAATGGGCTCAAAGCATAGCAACGATCTTGAAGTTGGCTTGGGACCAGGCAACATTTCATTCTGTTGTAGATAAGGTCACCATGAGTTGAACCAAGTTGATGAAAACTAACCGCACCTAACAGTAGATTTTCTGGTTGGAGGGTAGTGCATAGTCAGCTTTATTAGACATGATTAAGATGTTCTTCAAAGCAGTTCTGCCGACTTTCACTCCTTGTAGCAGTGGATCAGAATTCTATTTGTTCTATATCGTCTTCTTTGTTTTCAGTTCCCTTCCATTTTACCTAGGGACTGAACTCTCCTGATAACATATCCAAAGTGTATGAGATGAGTCTTGCCAACCTCGCTTCTAAGGAGCATTCTGGTTGTACTTCTTAAAAGCCAGATTTGTTTGTTTTCCCAGCAGTCCATGGTACTGTCAATATTCATCACTAACACTAATTAAACTGTGTTTATTATTCCATGGTCTTCCTTATTCATTGTCCAGCTCTTGTGTGCATTTGAGGAGATTGGAAAGTACCATGGATTAGAGCAGGTAAATGCTAGTCTTCAAAGTGAGACTTTTTCACTTTAGCACTTTATTTACTAACGTTAACACTTTAAAGAGGTCTTTTTACAGTAGATTTGTCCAATGAGATCTGCCATATGACTTCTTGACTGTGGCTCCCATGGACTTGAGACAGTGTAGTAGATAGGGATGAGTCCTAAGGAGAAAATAAACAAGAAAGAGCTATAGGGAGCATGTGTACCTGGGGTGAGATAATTGAATTCTAATGTTAGATAAAGTAATCTGGGAAGGCTTTACTGAGAAAGTGACATTTGAGCATGGCCTGAAAGATATGAGGGTACAAAAGAGGAAGCAAGGATTGCAAAGGCCCTGAGGTATTACTGTGTCTGTCAAATCCGAATGAGACTAACATTGGTAATCGAGGAGGTCAGAAAGGTGATGACAGCAAAAGATATAGAGCCTCATAGGTCACCTTTTGTTGGTTATATGAATTGAAAACATCTACTCGCAGTCTGTGGTTTTTCTCTTAACTTAAAGTAATCTTGCAATCTAATGTTATTTGTGCTTCCTTGTATCTTAAGTAATCATTCTTATTTCCTATTTTAAGGCCATAAAGATATTTGATTTTCTTCTGCACGTTGTAACATTTTGCTTTTCACACTTAAATCTTAGTCTACCTGGAATTGATTTTACCCCCTCTATGGCATGAGGTAGGGATCAAGTGGATAATTTTTATTTATGGATAATGAATGGTTCCAGTACTATTTAGTGGATGATCTATTCTTTGCCCATTGATTTGAAATGTCACATATGCTGAATATTATCTGTTTTGAAGCTCTGTGTTCTAGCCTACTGGTCATACCATGTTCATCCCATACTGTCTTAGTTACAGTAGCTAAAAATCAGTCTTTTTAAAAAATCATTTTATTGGGGGCTCATACAGCTCTTATCACAATCCATCCATCCATCCATTGTGTGAAGCACATTTGTACATTCGTTGCCCTCATCTTACCCAAAATATTTGCTCTCCACTTTAGTATCAGCTCCTCATTTCCCCCCCTCACTCCCCGCTTTTCTCTCCCTCATGCACCTTGATAATTTATAAATTGTTATTATTTTCTCATGTCTTACACTGTCTGACATCTCCCTTCACCCACTTTTCTGACTTGATAACTCTTTCTTCAGATTCTCAGCAGATGTGTAACCCAATTTGTTATGGATTCCATTGTGCCCCCTCCAATATGTGATGAACTGCTAACCCCATCCCCGGGGATGAAATCTCACTCGGAAAGAGGATTTCTTTGTTTTGTTCATAAGACCCATCACCAAGTAGAATGAATTCTAAATCTAATTCCTTCTGAGTTGAAAACAAAAACCAACAAACAAAACCCCAGCAGATTAGACTCAGAGAAGTTGTGCTTTGTGGTTTAAATGGGTACATGATGGACCACTAACCGAAAGGTTGGCTGTTCAAATATGCTTAGAGACACCTGAGAAGACAAGCCTGGTAACCTGCTGCTTTCTGAAAAGTCACAGCTTTGAAAACCCTATAGAGAACTGCTCTACTTCCCACCTTCGAGCTGCCACGGGTCAGACTTGGCCTCCAGCATGGTGAGACAGTAAAGTTCTGATCTTTAAAGCCACCCACGTGTTACATTTTTGCTTCAGTAGCACTGGCCAACTAAGACACAACGAAAACATTGCTCAGGAAATAATATTCTTCGATTGTGAACAAAGTAAAATGGGGAGCCATCTAGTCAATTTCAACAAATAGCGACTCCATAGGGCAGGGTAGGAGCCCTGGTGGCGTAGTGGTTACGAGTCGGGCTACAAACTGAAAGGTCAGTAGTTCGAAACCACCAGCTGCTCTGTAGAAGAACGACAAGGCTTCCTACTCCCACAAAGAAGAAAAACGTTCTGCTCTCGTGAAGAGTTACAGTCTCAGAAACTCACAAGGGGCGGTTCTACCCTCTTCGATAGGGTCACTATGAGGCGCCATCGACTCATTGGCAGTCAGTTTGGTTTGGCTTTTACAGGACAGGATAGCACCGCCCTTAGGGGTTTTCGAGACTGATGCTACCGGAGTAGAAAGCTTTCTGCTGTGGAGCGGCTGGTGGTTTCGAATTGCTAACCTTGCCCTTGTTAGCAGTCCAACAAGGTTGGTAAGAGGTCTGGGTCAGGTGTATACGGACAGGGCCTTGGAGTCTTGGCCAAGGAGGAGGCTTTTGGGGGGCTCCCATTTAGCGGGTGGAAGAAAGCGGAGGGCAGGCAAACGCCTGAGGGGGAAGATTACTAGCAAGGTATTGTATGGCATTCATAAGGATTTGGGGACTAGATGATGTAGGTCCTATTAGCCCAGCGCCTTTGCGAGTTCTCCCCTAGGTACGACTAGTGCTTGTTTCTGTGCTCATCCTCAAAGTCCCCCGTAACATTTAGAAGGAATTCCTTGCTGGACCTGGTAGAGAAGTCCCTTCGGGTCTCTAGCTGCAGTTTCGGAGCTTGGCCACAGAGGGCGGACTCTGCGGCGGCCTGGAAAACCGGCGGCGGCTCCAGTCGCCGCTCTCTCTCGGGTCAGCCTCTGGGCTCCCGATCCCAGCTTCCAGCTCCCGGCGCCGAGCCGCTCCTCCAACGACGCGCAGCAGCGGCGAGTGGGAGAGAGGACACGGGGGCCAGCGACATCGGATCCGCCTGCAGCCCGCAGCCCCGCTGAGCCCGGAGGCCGCCGGGATGGAGCTGCAGCTGCCGGTCGGAACCCAGCCCCTTGCTGTATCCGCCTGAGAGGAGGGGGAAGGGAGGCCGCGCGGGGCCCAGGGTGGAGGCCGGGGGACTGCAGAATCCCAGGGACGCGGGTGGGGACGGACGGGCCCCGCGGCCCAGCCATGCCAGGGGTGCGGGGTGGCGCAGGAGGCGACGCCGGGGTGGGGAGGGTGGGGGTCGGGGAAGGCGGGAGGCTCCCTGCGCAGCGCGCCCCCCTTCCCGGCCGCATTCTAGAGGAGACCCTTAACCAGTGCCCCCATACTGTCGAGGGTATGGAGATGAAGGGCCCCCTCCGGGAGCCTTGCGCCTTAACCCTAGCCCAGAGGAACGGGCAATATGAGTGAGTAACCCCAGGGTCCCACTGTGGGCCAGCCTGCCATTACCCCGCCCCCATCCCCCACCGCCGCCCGTCTCCCACCTCTGCTGCATAGGCAACAGGTTCGGGTCCAGGTCCAGGCGTGAAGTGCCAGGGCTTTGTGACAGGGTTGTGCATGGAATTCCCAAGCCTCTTGCTTGGGCCGGGCAGTGGTTAGGTGGGAGGACTTCACGGGCAGGGAAGTAGGAAGCCTGGGTTCTTTTTCTTAGGTTCCTACGGCCGCAACTGCCCTGTGTTGTGTAACATTGGCCAAGTCAATTAAAGCTTAGTTTCTTCTTCCTCGGTTAAATAAGACTGAGCTGCCTTCCCTTAGAACCTTTGGAGTTATAACTGGAAGAGTAATCTGTGCGGGGGGGAAAAAAAAGTTTACGGACGCAGAAAATGCTATAGAAAGGCCCCATGGCAAAAGTTACAGACTTGCCTTTTCATAACCCCATTCAACTGGTTCCTCCAGTCTCCCCAGGCTCCAGTCTACACAATTTCAAGATTCCTTGCAGTGAGGTATAGGTATGCATCATCTTTAATTCCGTGACTTTAATGTCATGCCATAGTTGAAGGCCTCAGTTGAAGGCTTGACTCAGAAAAGGGAATGGTCGCTGTAGGAGTGAAATGCCATTTGACATGTTTTTCAGTGTGTGTATCATCTTCTGCTTGGCACTTAGGCTCAGGAAATACTGGTGATGGATCAAAAGATGGTTTTGATAAGGTATCACTGTAGCTGTTAATCACCTTGCCTCAAACACCTCACCTCCAAAGTACCCAGGGTGACCAGGACATATAAGCTCTTATCCCTGGGTGCCCAAGTGACCTCCCTTAGGTGCCCACTGGTTTCTTGAGGTCAGATTTCTTCTGAGTTTAGGTGTTGACTTCTTTTAGATCTTGTCGCCCAAGATGGGGTTCTGTCGAAACACCATTTTCCTCAGCCCTGACTTTCACAGGCTCCAGCATGTGTCTGGCTGGCTGATTTACACCAGAGAAATTCCCATGGGCCTCTCCTGAGACTGGAACCACTTCAACTGGACCTTCTTTGGTTCTGTGAAGTAGCTCTTCTCTAGGTCTTGCTTAGGCTGTTGTGTTGCTGTGGGAAATTTCTGGTATTGTCCCAATTTCTGCAAACCCTAGAAGCCCTGTTTCAGAAAAACAAATTTAACTGAATAGTGAATTGAAACCTGGAACGCCACCACCAAGGCTAAGATGGGGTGGGGAGAACACAGGATTTGGAGTGCAGAGACCTGGCTTGACATCTGTTTCACTGCTTTTGAAACGGAACCTTTGAGCACCGTGTTGTGTGACTCTGTTTTCTCTTCTGTAAAAACCAGATGCTGGGGCATTTAAGCAAATAGTTCCCTTCTTGAGATGGCCATGGTCCCGGAGCTAGCCCCTTGGTTTCAAAGGGTTGGAAGACTGTGCAGCTCATAAAGCAACTGGTTTAAGTTGAGCACTTCTATTACAGTACTTTTAAACTTTCAACAGTAGCTCTCCTGACTCTGTATCCCCTCTCCAGAGAAATCAAATTCTTGTATTCCAATTCTGTAGACATCTCTGTAAGCAGCAACCACCATTCGGTAGCTTAATGACTGCCAGGTCCTGGTCAAAGCACATCTCACCAGTCGGTGCATTTAGCTCTCCTGGGGTGTTCTGCATGTGTGGAAATTGAGGTTCAGAGAGGTTAGGTCACTTGCTCACAGGAAGTCTCAGAACTGAATTTTGTAACAGCTCTTACAACAGCCCTGTTGCCTCCTGGCTAGCTAGAGATGTTTCCGTCTCAATCAGTAACTGATCGGAAATACCTTATCGGAGGAGTTTTTGTGAAATCATTTTCATAACACTATCTCAAAGTCATGTCTTTTGGGGTGCCCTTCTCTAATTGAGGGTCTCCAAGTTTTCTTTTAACTTTTGACTTTTTAAAAACTAATAAGTGATGAAGTTGATCATCATCTCTAGGTCTCTACCTTTTGCCCACAGCCATGAAGGAACTTGACTTGAGAGGCCAATCAAAAAAAGTGTCTTTTGGAAACACAGAAGCAAACCTATCCATTCTTTTAAGGATAAGTGGTTATGATAGAAGCTGTTGGTTTACCCTAAATCTTCCTTGAACCAGTCTTCTCAGAGATAATGGGGAGTCGACATGGCAGTTTGCTCCTTCCTGTTTGAAACTACCAGATTTAGGTTTCATGGTCCTAACCTTAATATTATACACACACACACACACACACATCCACTCACACATACAGAAATAGGTGTATGTATTTAGAAAGATGAATATAAAGAGAAATAACATATAAAGACATATTTCTGTATCTACATTCTTAAATATAGGTATTTCTGTGTATATATAGGTACCTATGCAGAAAGATATTTCTGTTCTGAATTTGATGATTCTTCCAGTGAGGTAGAGTTTTTCCCACTTCCATGGAAACTATTCTCATGTTCAACCCCCTTTCCTGCCTACTGAGATTATATTGGTTCATACTCATGTACCTCAAAGTCGGCTCATCCTCCTTGAGCCTTGATTCATAAATGTTTTTTTATCATGCGTCCGGCCTCCACCAAGGTTTACAGGGTTCCAGGAATCTCTGGGTCCCTAGTTTTCCCGGCTGAGAAAGATAGAAAGACAGCGCTTTCTATTCCTATAAAGAGCTACCGTCTCGTAAACTCAAAGGGACAGTTTACCCTGTCCTGAGTCGGCATAAACTCAGTGGCAGTGAGTTAGGTGGGGTACTTTTTGAAGAAGCTCTACCCCATTTTCTCTAATTACCTTAAAATGTAAACCATTACAAATAGAGCAAACAGGATCACAGCAGAAAGACAGCCTTCGTACTTCTATTTCCTTTAGTTCCATCTTGGAGCCCAATTGGCCCAGTGATTTAACGTGTTCAACTGTTTAGCCAAAAAGTCAATGGTTAGAGCCCACCCACCGCCCTGAGTGAGGAAGAAGTAGCAATCTGCTTCTGTAAAAGTTTACAGCCGTGGAAACCTTTAGGGTAGTAGTTCTCAACTTTCCTAATGCCGTGACCCTTTCATACGGTTCCTCATGTTGTGGTAACCCCAACCATAAAATTATTTTCGTTGCTACTTCATAGCTTAATTTTGCTACTGTTATGAATCGTAATGTAAATATCTGATATGCAGGATGTATTTCATTGTTATAAATTGAACATAATTAAAGCATAGTGATAAATCACAAAAACTATGTCATATACTGTGAAATATTTGTTTCTAATGACAAATAAATGAAATTTTGTCTTGAAGCACGGTGTAGCATGGGTAACAGTCTTCCCGCCAGGTACTCGTATGTGGACGTATCTGCATGTGGGTGGATCTGCCTGGAGACGGATAGAGGAGCGGTGTCTCGGTTCCTAAGACCATCGGAAATAAGTGCTTTCCAATGGTCTTAGGCGACCCCTGTGAAAGGGTCATTGGACCCCCAAAGGGGTCACGACCCACGGGTTGAAAACCGCTGCTTTGGGAAAAGAAAGCTCTGTCCTATCAGGTCTCTGGGAGTAGGAATGGATTTGAGGGAAGTGGGTGAGTTTAGGTCCATCTAAGCAACTTCCCCTTCCTAATGAACACATTGCAGGGTGGGAGTGGTGGTGGGGGATATGCGGAATCCAAAAAGCGAAAATAGTAAGTCCCCCAAAAGATAGCATAATAGAAATCAAAACCTTCCAAACAAATAGTTTTAAGGTCTGAATAGCCATATTGAAAATGTAGCCCCTGTTCATAGCTTAGTTAAGCTAGTTCATTTATTCAGCAAATATTTATTGAATGCCTATAGACAGGATGCAAAACTCAATATGAAAGAGTCCTTTCTTTTAAGGAGCTCAAATCAGTAGAAAAGGAGAAATACCAGTATAACACTCCCCCCCAAAAAAACCCTCACTGCCATCCAGTCTATGCTGACTCATCATGACCCTGTGAGGGCAGGACAGGGTAGAACTGCCCTTGTGAGTTTCTGAGACGATCACTCTTGACAAGAGTAGAAAGTCCTCTCTTTTTCCCTGGGAGCAGCTGGTGGTTTTGAACTAGTGACCTTGAGGTGAGCAGCCCAGCACAACCACTATGCCACCAGGGCGCCTATACAAGTATAACAGAGTAGGGGAGCTAGAATTGTCACTAGCATACTGGCCCAGAGGGGCAGCAAAAGGAACCGAGGCTATTGGCTCTGCTTGGGAATGTTGGGGAAACTCCACCAAAGGAGGTCAAATTGAGCTGGACCTTGGAAGCTAAGATGTTCTTTGAGGGGTGGATGGAGGTAGCATTTCTGGCAAAAAAGAACCCTTTGGAGAGTGCTTGTCTTTGGGCAAGGGAGGAGACATTCAGAATGGCTGTTTACCCCTTAGGCTCTACCTTGATGGGTTAATCCTTGGGTTGCTAACCACAAGGGCAGTGAGAAAGACGAAGCTGTCCACTCCTGTAACAATTTCCAGTCTCGGAAACCCTGCCCTGTAGTGTCTCCGTGAGTTGGAGTGAACTTGATGACATGGGGTGGGAAGGATAAGCATTAAACCAAGATGACTATGTCAGGAACGCACATGAATTCTAGAAGTCTTGCATTCCACTCGGAGGAGCCACGTGTAGTAATCCCTATTCAGAAATACCAACGTGAAGTTGGAAACCAAAGGAAGAGCCCTATGCGATGTGAAAGCAGGTTATTTTGATGGACCTGGTAGACTGACACCACCTCCTTTTCTCCATGGACCTGCCAGATGGTTTGAAGAAATAGATGCATCCTTTGGGGAAAGCAGTGGGAGTGTAATTGGAAAGTTAACATGCATTGTTTAATTCCTTCAACAAACAGGAGTGACTGCTACGTGCCAGGCACTGTGCTATTTATTTCTTTTTATTATACTTACTGCCATTGAGGCGATTCTGACTCCTATTGATCCTGTGGGATAGAGCAGGACTGCCACTGGGTTTCCAAGACAGTAGCTCTTTATGAGAGTAGAAAGCCTCATCTTTGTTCCACATAGCAGCTGGTGGTTTTGAACTGCTGACCTTGTGGTTAGCAGCCCAACACGGAGCCCACTACACCACAAGAGCACTGTGGGAAGACAAACATAGACCCTGGACTTGTGGCTTTCACATCTAGCTGTTCTTCACCCTGGCGGGGAGGTGTAGTAACTGTAATTCATGCTCTTAGGATGAAAGCTGTTTGGGGGACATATGCTGTTGAGTGGGGGTTTTTCTGGACAGTGTAGGTATTCAGATACTGATCTAGAGCAATATCTAGATGGCATTATGCTTAAATCCAGGGAACTAAATACAGCAAGTCTAATAAATACAGATTCGATTTATCTAACCAGACAGCACTGTATTTTGTTGCTAAACCTGTGGGGGTTTTTCACTAAACTTCGTTGATACATTCTTCTGTTTCCTAGGTTAATAATCCAGTTGTACGAAAAGGAACAGCATGTTCAAGATATCATTCCTATAAATAGCCACTTTAAATGTGTTCAAGGTACTAGCTTTAATTGCTTAGCTAATTTTATAATGTTTTCCTTAGTCATTATTGCACTGTGTAACACTGTACATAACAAAAAATGTACCACTGCATGTAAACTGGAAGAAATTACCCTTTGCATTTAAAGGATAGCATTACTAATCTACCATCAAGAGAATGCTGCTAGGATGATAGTAAACTTTATATGTATGTATAGACTCACTTGTTTTCTCTGGCCAGGATGAGAGATGTATGTGGCAGCTTACCTATGTATAGTCTTTTATGTGCCCGACCTATATCTGGATTTAAAGGGCTGTCTGGGACTTTACGGACATAGTAATTGTAAAGTACCAGGGTCTCTTGGATTCACACACATTCAGCACTTTTTCAGACACTATTTGAAATTAAAAATGTTTGACTACAAGCCTTCCCAGATTGTAATACCTCACACTCAGTTGTCCTGATTCGCAAACCCTGACATTGGTGAATCATAAGCAAAGCCAAGTCCATGGAGGGAATAGTTGGCTTCCTGCCCTCAGATTCGGGGACTGAGAACAGAAAGTCTGTTGTTGCACCTGCTAAAATGAGACACACAACTTGGGAAGTTTGTGTTGGAGGTGTTGCTTCTGTCATCTAGGTAGGAAATAGATTACTCGAGAACGAATGCATTACGTGTCCAGTGGGCTCGTTGGCTTCAGCAGGCAGAAATACTTGTGTATCAGTTTTAGCTTTGGGAGAAAGCCAAGGAAAGCCCAAGAAAAACTCGTTGAATCCTCTCATGCACTGCTTTTTTTCCTTCTGAAATTTACATTTTAAACTACCTACCAGAGTAATATACACCCTGTAAAAGGTTTGGAAATCCCAGAAAAGTGTAAAGAGAACCAGTGGCCCAAATCCCATGCCTCAAAGTTAAGCTTTCTACACACGGAGCTTGCAGTGGTGACGGGTCTCCCAACAGACTATACAGTGTTTTAGTCTGTTCCACGTGCTGTCAGATTGTGAACTCTTGACCTGACTCTTAGGGACTGTATATGATTTCACTTTGTGAATGGCTCATTGTGTAACTGTTCACGTGTATTAGACACCGGGTTTCCACCCTCCACCCCTCTTCTTTTGCACTAGTATAAGTAAGGTGATGGACATTACTGTACACCCATCTTCCTTCTCTGATCTCCTTAGCATGTATTCCTATAAGTGGCTATACTAAGGCAGAGGGTATGAGTTTTTGTTTGTTTAAGGCAGTATATTTCAAGATCTTCCTGTTGTACCAGGGTTAGTCAAAAAGTATTGCTGCTAGGTTTCCAATCCATACATGCACATCCTTTACCCAGACAAAACGTGCTTAAGCACATCTCGGCCATCAGTGGATGGCTGCAGGAAAAGTCTCTCAGTAACACCCTTGTCTTAATGTTGTTAGGTTGCCCAAAAAAAGAAGGTACGATCAAAATAGTGGCTTCCAAGGGCTAGTTATATTCATGGTCAGCTCAGGAAGCTATGGAGACTTTTATTTTTGGGGACCCTCAAAGGAATCTTCATAGATTTTCTCAAAGGATATAGGACAGCTATGGGGGCTTATTAGGAAGAAAGGGAGCCCTGGTGACATGGTTACAAGTTGGGCTGCTAACAGCAAGGTCAGCAGTTCCAATCTACCAGCTGCTCCTTGGAAGAAAAATGAGGCTTTCTACTCCTGTCAAGAGTTAAAGTCTTGAAGACCCACTGGAGCAGTTCTATCCTGTCCGATAGGGTCTCTGTGAATTGGCATTGACTCGATGGCAGTGTGTTTGTTTTATTTTTATTTATTTTTTATTAGGAAGAAGTTGGAAGAAAATGAAAATTATATTGAAGAGAGAAAGATCAGGAAAGTTGAGCCGAGCAGCAAGGACTGCCCTAGAAGAATTTCTTTGGGAGACCTTGCCTCATCCACTCTTCAGCCCTGACCTTTCCCCTTCAGACTTTCTGTTCTCCAACTCAAAGAACATTGAAAAGATTTTTGTCCCTTGAAGATGCTGAATTCTTTGAGGAAGGATTGTTGTTGTTTTTGTTAGGTGCCATCGAGTCGTTTCCGACCCATAGCGACCCTGTGTACAACAGAACGAAACACCACCGGGTCCTGAGCCGTCCTATGCCCGAGTCCATTATTGCGGACACAGTGTCAATCCTTCTCCTTGAGGGCTTTCACTGCCCCTCTACCCAACCTCACATGATGTCCTCCAGGGACTGGTCTCTCCTGACAACATGTCCAAAGTATCTAAGACAAAGTCTTGCCACCCTTGCCTCTAAGGAGCACTCTGGCTATACTTCTTCCAAGACAGATGGGCTTCTCCTGTTAGCAGTCCCTGGTACTTCCATTGTTCTACTCTGGCACCACAGAAACCCTGCCTTCAGAAGTGTATAGACCAAGATGGAGGCTGTGTTGGGAAACCGTAGCTTCCCATTCTTGTATTTTTAGTTCATAAAAGGGGCTATGATTTTGGTTGCAGCAATACTTTTCGACTTGTCCTTATACGGGAGCTAGGAAAGGCTGCAACTGCTCCACCCCCAAGTCACTGCCTAATCCACAGGAGTTGGTTCTCAGAGTTCAGCTTGTCGGGAGGGTCTGGCAGATGCGGGAAGTTAGAGAGGAAGAGGTAGGTTGAGCCTAGACAGCAGAGGTAAAGAAGGAAGTTCAAGAGCCTGAGAAATGATTACTCAGAGCCCTGGATAATCATTCCCTTTGGACTCACTTCCTTGACCTTCTGTCAGAAGTAGTTAAATAATATGGATGGGTCATTAGAAAACCGGTAATGCTATAGTTGAGGGGCCTTATTAATGTGCTGTTACATTCCCTGCCATTTCACACTGTATTCTAAGGAGTTTTCGCTGGTTACAAAAGAGGCCTGGTGGTGCCATAATTAAAGAACCCCACTGCAAACTTGCAGGTGGGTGATTGGGACTCACCAGCTGCTCCATGGGAGAAAGCTGTGGCAGTCTGCTTCTTTCAAGAGGACAGCCTTGGAAACCCTGTGGGGTAGCTCTCCTCGGCCCTGTAGGGTCGCTGTGAGTCGGAATCGACTTGACAACAATGGGTATTTGATAACTTGTCCAGTTCATTTTCCTTTCAGTTGAAATGTTCATGGTCTTTAGAGTTGAGTACTATGAAACTCCTTTTGTAAAAGAAAAAAAAACCATGCTCAGCAAAGGCTTCTTGGAGAATGTGTTTTAAGACCTAAGAGTGATGACTAAGAAGCATTTCTTTAGTGAAGCAGATAATTCTTTTAGTTGTAATGAATGGTTTTCCCTTCCCTGATCCTGCTCCTTTTTTTCCCTCTCCTCAGAAGCGGAAGAAACACTTTTGATTGACATAGCCTCAAACAGTGAGTATCATTCTGAATGCAGTTGAATTTCATTGCACCAATATCTACTTGAAGTCTCACTATACTTAAGACACCTTTTGGGGGCAGGGGAGGGACATCTTGCATTTTACCTTATGTTAGTCTCTATTTTCTTCAAGCAGCCATACAAATTAGCATTGAGAGGAATGCTAAAAAAAAACCAAACATTTAAATTGGCAGGATTCTTTATAAAAATGTAAAATATGATTTATTCTTTCTTACATAAATTTTTTATTGTAAATCGGGT